GTTACCAAGCACTGATAAAATATGAAGAAAAATCTGGGTTCACATACAATCTCATATCTGTAAAATCAACTTTCATCCTAACAGAACTAGATTTACTTTGTCTAATGTCAATGAGAATAAATTAATTTTATCAATCTTGTCCTGGAGACAAACTTATCAACAATGGGGATTCTAATAAGGACACAAGCTACCAAGTGCTTCTCTGTGACTTGCTAGGGTGAATAGTTAATTACTAGTGTTGATGAATACCACTACAAAGCAACTAAATATAGTAAAGCAATTAACTGGGCCCAGTTAGCACAAAGTCATACTCTGTTGTGTAGAATTGAGTAAATGATTTCAGGAACAAAACAAAGAAAACTGACTTTTTCAGGAAAATAATATCATTAACTCATACAGTTTTTAATTTTGATGTGTATAAGAGTTTGTTCAAGTCATGACCTTCTGGCTTGAAATCTCCAACCTACCATGAACTGTATTAATGTTGATGAATATCCGAGAGTCATTGCAGATCACAGAAGCTGTTCCTTTATCATTAACTTTTGGCAAGTATTTATTTCACCTTATTTTCCTTTGTTATTAAAATGACTATTCTATGATAATTTAGTAATGATGATTGGAAATAAAGAATAAGCTTCTTTCTTTCTTTTTATTTTTCCTATGTACTTCTTATTTAATGATGGGGAGTAGCAGATATAGAAAAGAAAAGTGAATTAAGGTCTTGCTTAATTGTTGATTTGGTTATACATCATGTCAGTGATATGGTAAGACTATGAACAGTGAGAGAAAATGGAAGGCTAACATAGACATACAATCACCTTGAGAAATTGGTTCCAACTGCCAAATTAGGCATTTTATACTCTTTGACATGTGCATAAATTATAGATGAGTCAAGTGCAGATAATTAAGTTTTGTAATATTATAATAATAATAAATAATTTCTGAGGCTCCAAACCCTAAGGATATTAAAGTATTGTAGCCACAGTGTTAAAAAGTAACTTTGTTTTTAGTTTTAGTTTACACATTGTTGTTAGCTCTATGTTTACCTACAGTTGACTTAGTTACATTGTTTTTTACTGATGTATGTTGAATTTCGAAGAGACTTCTAGGAATGGACAATTGTAGGATCAAACTAACATTGTCTCACTTCACCAGGAATATTTTCAATACATTTGAAGTCTTAGAAGTTGTCTATAATTGTATTTATCATTCCAAGAGTTATTCTGACAACTGAACTCATTGTTTATAATTCTGAGAAGAGTTGTTATTCAAACAGATTTTCAGGAAACTGAACAAACAGATTGTCCGAAACATTATGGAAACAAAAATCACAAGAAAAAAAAAATTAGTTCACATGTCCAAACATCTCATTGAACTGAACTCTGTGTCATTTATGTTGCTCACACAATGTTTCAACTGATGCACAGCCTTCTTCAAGTGCATAATGTATATAAAAAGATGTTCTCTTTTTTTCTGGATGAATAAATCAAAAAGTAAAAATGGAATACATTTAACAAGCATTGCTGTAAATGCCTTGAATTTTCTTTTTGCTGACCCTCTTTTTCCCATATATGGATAGCATACTTCAAGAAGGTTGGAGAATGGATTGGCTGAAACATTGTCAAACATACTAAATGTTATAGTGACTTATTTAAGTGTTATTTAATCCTTGCTATAATTTTCTAGACTGTTTCTATGACTTTCGTTAAAATTCATTTTCTGTCTATATTTCTGAGATGTGGTATTATGTACAATATTTACATTGCTTGGACTATCATCCTCATCTTTGTTGCCATATTTATCACAACGTTTCAGCTGTTCTACACTTGGACCTTCTTCAGGTGGTTGGAATGTCGAATTGAACCCTTTATTTCGATTGCTGAGGTAGACTGTTCTAGTTTCACGTGCCATGTCTAATGGATATCAGTTATCTCCTGTTAATTCACCTTTCTCCACTGCCTTAATCAGTTATTGAACTCACACTCTTTGGGTCCTGTCACTAGATCTAACTAACGCCTTTATCTACTGTGCCATGTGTCCTTGAAGATATCTGTGTATGAATTTCTGGGCATTATAAAACCTAATGTCTTCAGCAACCATTTTTTTACCAGTGCTCATATTGCAATTTTCATTGTTATTATTGCTTTTCTCTAGCACTCCTTATTATTAGTTCCCATATTGTATTCATTTCTATGCTTGGTCGGCTCAGGAGATTTTTGTGGCCTTTTATGTACTGATTCTTTTTCCAATGATGTTCTATGTCTATGATTTCAGTCTACCCCAGCGAGTGAAATAAAGGGTTCAGTTCGACATTCCAACCATCTGAAGAAGGCTGGAGCATACAACATAAGATGTGCAGATGACACAATATTGCTAGCAGACACAGAAGGAAAAATGCAGGAACTCCTACAGAAGATACTGAAGGAAAGTAATTGTAAGAAGGCAGAATGTATGGGTTTCAACTAGATGAACAGCCCCAGATGCAAACTACGAATTGGAAATACCAAAATCAAGCAAATACAAAAATTTAAATATCGAGGAAGTGTTTTAACAGATGTCAGGAAATGTGACACAGAAATCCAAAGGAACATTAGAATAGCAAAAGAAGCCTTCTAAAAGCTACGTAAAGTATTAATGAACAAGGACATTCTGTAAGAAACAAAGAAAAGAGTGCTGAACTGTTATGTAATATCAGTCCTCTTATATAGCAGTAAATACTGGACCATCTCATCACAAATGAAGAAGAGACTTGTGGCAACAGAAATGTGGTTCTACAGAAGGGTGCTGAGAATAACATAGAATGAGCACGTGAGTAACAATAAAGTTTTAAGGAAAATGGAAACAAAAAGGACAGATCAGAAAAAGTCAACTGAAATTTCTAGGACACATAATGAAGAAAGAAAGCTTGGAGAATTTGATACTCTCAGAACATATTGAAGGCAAGAGGGACAAAAAATAGTGCATAACCTACCTAACAGGCTTGTGTAAATGGTTGTCAGAAGAGGGATTGGGATTGATAGTGAAAAGACAAAACTTACTAAGAATTACAAAGAATAGGAAGTTGTGGAGAGCCATGATCGCCCACATCTACACAGCACGCAGAAGAAGTATTAGTAAGAGTTTCAAGTTCATTTCCTTAAACATTAGTACTAATTATTAATGTTGATCATCAAATTTGAGAGCCTTGCATTATTACAAAATACCAACATTTTTATTCCCTTGCTTCAATTATCTATAGTCTACATTCCTCATTTGATTCATATCTATCTCAATTGGTTCATATCTCTCTCTGTTCATATTTATCTTTCAGCCTCTTTTTTCTTTCTTTCTAAGTTGATTTATATATCTCTCAATCTCTTCATATCTATCTATCTATCTATCAATCTATCAATCTGTTCACTTGTTTCTTTTTTCTACTTTTCTATCTCACTCATATCTATCTTTCAGCCTTTGTTTCCCTCATATCTATCTATTGAAATATATTTGAACTATAGAAGGTTTTCCTTTTTAATGATGATACATTTTTAGGATTTCTAAGGACAAAACACAAGAGCAAATTTTATCCTTTTTCTCACTGTTTCTTGGATGAATGACAAGTTGGGAATTACTAGCTGTAATTTATTCCCACAATATTACAAACTAGCGATACCATGATCTGTTCTTTGCTATGTTGCCACTGGACCTACTGAATTGGATACCCAACAGGCCATGTTAATCCTTTTAAAATGAATTCAGATCACAAATGCATTCTGATAATAACAAAACAATTATTTATTACTGGCAATTATTACACAATTTCATCATCTTTTTGTTTTTAACTAGAGCAAATGCTAGTCCCTACACAAGGACTCCTTTCCTTTCAGGCTTTTTACTATGAATAATTCTTTTATCTCCATTCATTCTTTTATGTCAGTTTCATCTTTTTTATCTCAACTCTATTCTTCTCTGTTCTTCTAACTCTAGCCAAAAGTAGCTTCATCTCTTTAAAGGCCAGCAGACAAAATAGACTTTGTTGAGATTGGGGCATCTCTCTCATAGTGACTTCAGGTTTGGACCTTTCTGTTTATAAAGTCTTTGAACGTTAGAATTGTCATGTAGGCATGTTTTTTTTAAAGATTCTCTTGACAAAAGCCAAATACCCTTAACTGACTAGTTGAGGCCCGCTAGATAAACCAATAAATATATTTCTTTTCGAAAGTAGAGTTGAGTGATGAGAAATACATGACTTTTAGGTGAATGAGAAAATATTATAATTTTTGCTTGCTCTTTGTACTATCTTGTACACATGTTTTAAACTAGAAATACAGGTTTCAACTTTCACTACTTCCAATTTCAAGCCATAATCATTTTTATATGTTCTAATTAACTGTTTAATTTGCTTTCTTTTTCTATTATAGTTTTCTCAACTTGCTATATCCCTCCAGTCACCTTTATTTATTTAGCATAAGTATTTCTTTCCTGCAGCCATATGAAGCATTATTTATACACTACTAAGATCTTAGGCAATGTACTCACTTTGCCACACTAACTATAAACATTGAAATGAGATTTTAATTTGGTGGAATCAAAGTTCATAATAATAAAGCTTGAATTCCTTTCTTATTCACCTTTTGATTAACTCTGATGAGAAAAGGAACTAAACCAACATATTTCTATGAGCAAATTCCTGTTAAATATTAATTGCCAAAGAGCCACATGCCAACAAATATAGTTGTAGAGATGCAAAGGGCTATTATCTCCCTTTGGGAAAGATGAATTCATCAGGGTCACATGATGGCCAGTGAGTGATGTCAATTCATAGAGTGATGAACATCAGTTGCTATTTAGCACAACTAGAGACAAGACATGTCTATCCATGCCAGTTGTTATATAGACAAAAGCATGACATGACTTTCCATAGCAGTTAAGAGAGCAAAGAAAAGTACATGGTTTCACCAGGTACATAAAGGACACCATCAGTCTACTCATTTTCACTTTGTGAAAGGCTTATGGTCAAATTATGTTGAAACACTGTTTCCCATATGATCACTGAAGTTATGCAGCATCAAGCCTGGTCAGTACCTAGATGTGTGACCACTTGAGAATTCCAGGTGCTGTAAGTTTGGATGTGCAGGTAGTGTAAATGAATAATGGTTCAAAATTGTTAATCAGAGAGTTCCAATTCCTGTCAGGGTCATTATATTCACTATCATACAAATCCCCTTGAGAAAGGTATGAATCCACATCTTCCCCCTGCAGCTATGGGTTAATTAGTAAGTCTTGTTTCACTAAATCATTATTATCTCCAAAAAGAAATTCTTGTAATCTAAAAAACTATTCTCTGGCTTTAAATAGCCTGCAAATGGTTGATAAGCTATAGAAAATGAATGAATGAATGACTCAATCCCTTTGAGAAATATTACAAGTAAGACCTTCTCACTTTTTATCACTTTCACACTGCTGTATGCATATGTCATAATTTCTCAGTGTGAGATAAATTAGTGACAAATATCTATATTGATATAAAAAATCTCTTTGAGAACAATGCATTCTATCCCCTATATTAAGGTATAGTATCCTTATTGGCATTATAAGGTATAGTATCCTTATAGGCATTATAAGGTATAGTATCATTATAGGCATTAGTATATCATGGATATACTAATGTCTATAACAAGGAAATGCTAACTGGAAATATTCTCTCTTTCCTAGCACCCCAATTTAAAAAAACAGTTTTTGCAGAAGATATATTTTTGGAAATAAAAACAAATTCTGTAAATTATTACAATTTGGCATACTAACCATTTTCTTACAAACAGATGATCAAGATGAAAATAAATTAGTGTCAATGTCAATATTGTGAAAGCATGTTTAAACTCTTTTTTTTTTAATCACCAGACCCTTCTCTCTCTCTCTCTTTTTGGAACTGTGTCTATCTCTCACTCTCTTTTTTATTAGTCTTCAACTGGACTATCCTTTGAAATGTGTTGTCAGCTTTCCCTCTTTCTTGTCAATGCAGGTTGAATTTTGTTTTTCTGTTTTGCATATAGATTTTTCATAATTAAGATTTTCACTTTTTCAGACGGCCCATTGAGAATTAAATTCTATATCAATGGCTTCTAAAAACGTTTCACTATCCAATACCTGACAATTACATATAGCTTTCATTTTATTTCTTTACCTTCCTTCTCTCAGCAATTACACTTCTCACCTTTATTTCAGTGGCACACACTTTTTTTTTTATAAATATCTGTCAAATGCAGTGCCACACTCATTTTGCTTGGGATTTTAGCAAATTCTAAAAGTAGACTCAATTTCAAATTAAGTGTATTTGTATTGCCTGAAATTCTGAGATTCAGCATTGTTACCATTCTTGAAATTATTCTTACCTTGAATTTTTTTTCACAATATTTTGGTTGATATGTCCTTTGAACTTCCTCACGTAGGTGTATGCTGTAAAAAGAACTTTAAAAATATCATGTACAGGCATTGCTTGATGTCATAAGATATTTTTTGCATACTGAATGACTGGCTGTAGCCAAAAAAGGCAATCATATCCAATGAAGGTTTGTGCTAGAGGTTTTAAAAGTGTATCCAGTTTAAAGAGCCATATCTGTTCAAGATGATACAAGGATAACTTATGATGGTCATACTCAACAATGAGATGATAGTCATCATATATATATGCATGTGTGTGTTTATGTAAAATATATAAAATATATATATATATATATATATATATATATATATATATATATTGCATGAAATTTGATTAAAATAGAGGAAGAGTGCTCAGTATTAGAGATGCAGAATATGTGATTATAGAAATCAACATTTTATATATATCAAGATGTTGAAAATAACATCAATCAGCTAAGGGATAAATTTTATATTTATATTAATGTTATTAATTCTCTATCTCTGATATTGAGCACTTTATTGCAAAAACTGCTTGCCTTAAATATCTTTTGTTTCAGACTTCCACTGACTGACAGCATTTCTTGTTTCACATTATCTTTTGTTATTGCTATTGCCTTAGATCCAGAAAATAATTTTCACTTCAGCACTTTTGCACATTTTTGTTTTATTTTGATCACTTTTTTTACAACATTAATTTCTGCTATTATATTTTCTCAAAATAAAATAAAATGAATATACTAATTGACATTAACATGGAGTCAATGCACCAAAATGCATAAATTATTTCTTAACTCAATATAAAAGAAAAACAAGAAAATAAACAGCCAATTGCTGATATCTTCTGATGAGTGGATGGAGCAATTGCTGGATGGTCTGTCTACGAAACTTTAGAAACGAGATGCTGAAAATAACATCAATCAACTAAATGACAAATTTTATATTTTTATTAATCTTATATATATATATATATATATATAGTTAGGTAAAAAATTTGTTGGTATATAATCCAGATGGATCCTAGTAATATAAAAATATTAGAACTGATCCACAAAAAAGAGCTTGATGCATTTTATTTATACAGAGCAATATAATTAATAATCAAACAAATCCTTTTCCCTCATATAGGGAATAGGGCATTTTGGCAGATGACCAAAGCAGTCAACCACATTGTCTGCCGAAATAGCCTATTCCTCATATGAGGTAAAAAGATTTGTTTGATTATTAATATATACATATATATATATATTATGAAAGGAACAAAGTCCAACAATTATTTTAAAACATTTTCATGTTTATACATTCTTTTTTTTATAGATACAAATATTTAAGTAAATGCTCTGTTTATAATAAACAGTATTAACAACATTTACTGGCCTAAATGTCTGAGAAATTTTCATAGAAAATATATGTCTTTCAACAGGAATCGAATCTGTACCCTATATGGAACCATCATATAGCCTGACGTGCTTTTACCGATTTCGCCACAGAAGAGTGTTCGGTTAGCAAGGTCAATTTTACTGTTTTAAACTACAATCTTTCATGTTTCTCTCACATACATTCATATCTGCTCAATGTGTATCTAAATGTAAACAAATGATGTCGCACATTATGAAATGGACAAAGTCCAACAATTATTTTAAGACATTTTTATGTTTATACATTCTATTTCTTTTTTGACACTTTCTCGGACTTTCAGGCCAGCCAATGTTGTTAATACTGTTTATTATAAACAGAGCATTTACTTAAAGATTTGTATCTATAAAAAAAAGTATGTATAAACATAAAAATGTCTTAAAATATATATATATATATATATATATATATATATATATATATGATACTACTCATCTGTCCTTGATCAATTTTCCTTCACTGGTCAATACTGCCACTGGTCATTGAAGTGGCTGTCCCAGTCTGTGCCCTGCTCTGCTCTGCCCCATGTTGTGCTTTTTGATCATGGAGCTAGCAAAGACTGAGTCATCATCGGCAATCAAAGTGTTGGTTTGAACCTCCGTGAAACTGCATCACAAGGAAAAAAAAATTAAACAATGTTTTTTGCAGACAAAATAAAAGAAGTCAGGAAATTCTTCAGGTCAATTTTCTATGTGGTTTATATTGTTCTTTGTACAAAAATATTAACCCTTCCCACTTTGAATTTACCATGACACTTTGCCTATTTTAGCTAACTCTGGAACCATGCTTAAGTCGGAAGTTCTCTGTGGCAGCAAGTCATATGGGATTTGGCAGTGTAGTCATCTCTCATCATCTGAAACTCCAACTGGGCCCTGGTTGTTTTAGTGTTTTGCTTATATTGACTTTTACTCAAGACTGGCATGAGGCTAATGGTATTTGGGGATTCTGGGCTTTCCAGCAAGGGTTCTTTGTTGTGTGATTGTGGAAAATTAATTATCCTTTCAAATTTTGGAGACCCCTTTCCATGGGAAGTGGTCATAGGTACTGACCCACCCCAATAACTCCTTCTTTCTCTTATTTGCGCCGTGTACCATTACCTGCCAATGGGTGGAGGCAGTTCCTCTGTCTCTCTTGGTATTTTACCTTAGTCTCTCCTCTTGGGTTCATCTTGACAAATTCAATTTGACTTACCTTTTGGCTATTAACTGTATTTATTACTTTAACTGTTGTCAGCACATTTTTCCTAGTTTGGGTTTTGTTTTTATAATCAGAAATTAACCAGCTGCTTTCCTTTTACCATAATCTTCATATCTTAATTTCTTTTAGGTGAAGTATAAAATTTTTTCTCTGGGATTGTTTTTACAGTTTTCTGATTTTTGACAGCAATCATAAATCAGTTTTTCTCCATCTATCTTCATTTAAAATTATCAAATTTTATCTCTCAATTGGTGTTTTTATAACTGGCACTTTTAGTAGCCAGTCAGTAATTATTTTTTTCTTTTCTGCTTCGTTTCCAAAATTATTGACTGTTTTCAAGTGTATTTTCTCTATTTATCCCTCCAACCCTTGTGGGTTTACATTTTTCTGATGGCTGTCTTTTTCTCAACACATTTGATCCTGTGTTCGTTCATCATCTGGGTTTTAAGATACATTTTAACTTAACCATTTTTCACTCAGTTTCAAGGTCACATTTTAACCTAATCATTTTCATTGTTTCAAGCTCATATTACAACTTTTTCATTTACCAGTGTCACATTGTGTTACATATATATATTCTTTTTGTGCAACCTCGTTCGCAATAGGCATTACATATGTAGACAAAGAAATGACAGGAAAAGTCGAAAGTTCTTGAACAAAAATAATAAAATATGAACTTAGGACACTTTATTCATAATTATGTTCACAATACTCTACACATTATACAAGAATTGGAAAAATATAATAAAAAATGAAACAGACTGACCGTGTCAGTTATTTTTAATCAAACTTGTTTAAATAAATACTTGCTGTACTAAATATACCATATAATTTATATATATATATATATATATATATATATATATATATATATGTATTAAAACTAAAATAGGAAAAATATTTTTCAAATAACTAAAAAAGAATTTCCCCTGATAAATGTATTGTACAAAATTTTCAATAACAATTATGTTAAATTAAGTTATAGTCGTATGCCAAATATGACTAACCTAATTAAATAAATATAACAGAAAAAAAACCATAGACAAACCACACCCCAACCCCCCTAAATATAAGTGTAGAAATAAAGATG